TTAAGCAATGACAGTTATTTGGCGCAACGACTCGGTCGGTATAAAGTGCCAAAGTATCACAAATGACAATTTCAATTCAGTTGTATCTATATCTTCTTCTGACGACAATTTTCTTTTCCTTTTACGAATCGAATAAAAAAGCGACTTATCTATCACAATGGTCAGAGCAAGATGAGACACATATTTTCACGTGTACTGCTGGTCGGGCGCTGGCATGAGAGAGGCAGATGAAGTAACACCCAAATGGGCGTTTGCGCAATAGGGTGATTAAGTGGTTACTGGCAGTGAATTTTTGCACTTCGGATTACAAAAAAAGCTTCAAACTTCGCAATAATGGCGTGAACATTTTCATCGACGATAATCTCCTAATGGGTTAAGGGATAGAGAGGATCTCGACTCTAGAAATTGCTTTTGCTGTTCGGCCTTCGATTCATCAAGAAAGTAACCTAGAGTCCTCGAATTGCAGTACCCGCGTGGTATGCGTTGTCGTAAAAACGAACCTGCGTTCATAAGGAAAGGAAAGCAACATTCTTACAGCAAGAATTGATTTATTATCATGTTTAAAGGTGCGAAAAAAGGAAATTATATCAAATTTCCATACAATTAGTCCTGAATGTGATCACAACTTTAACAAAGGCCTTCTGAGGAAGATTTGCTCCAGCTCAGAAACAGTGATTTCAAGCTTTGTCATTTAAACTGAATATATATTAAATCCAAAGTAAGGGAATAGGGTTTTAATAGTATTCATCACAATAATAATTAGTTTGCGGTTTATGGTGAGCACAAAACCTCCAGAAAATTATTATGTAACGAGAGGTTTCCCTTAAGAAAGCGATGCATTTCTGAGCTGAATTTATTGAATTTGCACTCACCTTCCTATCCCTCATAGTTCTCCGATGACAATTACAATCGAAAACAGTTACAAAATCATAACTTTTTCACCGACTTCGAGTGAGGCGGCATGCTACAACTGCTTTCCTGTGAAGCACGCATGCCAAGCTTTCCATCACTCAAATCCATTGCCACATGCGCGTACGAGGAATTTCATTATTTCTCTCAACAATCAGTCGCTATGCAACTATACTTGTCTTACTTAGCACTCAAAAAGCAGCCTCTGAACCTCCAACAGAGAACATGATGGTTTCGACAGATCTCCCACAAAAACGACCGCTTTACTGAACTTCAATGTGAGAGTCCCCCTTTTTATCTTATTTCCCCCGATTTATATTCTTTTATTATTATCATCTGAGAGTCAGTCCTTTTTGGCGCGTGAATGCATTTCTTAGATACCAAGAGTGTCGCTAAAAATGATATACCTTTGTTAAATTTAAGTGTAGATGAAAGCAATAATGCCAACAATAGTTAGCATGATTAATTCATCTTAAACTGATTATTATCTCTAAATTTTCAAGGAGGAAGTTGTCAGTGTGCGAAATAAGCAATAGTCTGATTCATGTTTACTTTATATGAATATTCCGTCACAACTTTCTAAACAGGAAGATGTGGTCTACATAGCAGGTGCATTGACAAAACAGAGGGTCGAAAAAATTCAAGGGTGGAATTGTCATCTATTAACACGGTTCCTTCTTTTCTTTGAAAGTGCAATTTAGCCTAATAATTAAAGTGGAAGAAACCAAGCTTTCTTTCTCATATAGCCCAAAGGTCAGTTTTTCAGGGCGTTAAATGATCGGCTTCCAACAGTTTTTGTCACCATTTCAGCGAAGCATTATATAACATGAACTTGACATCTGTTGCCGGTTAAGGTGAAACTGAGGCAGAAATTTGCTATTATTAAGTTTTGTTGTAACATTGAAAGTTTATGTTATCACCGCATGACCCACCAAGCGCCTAAAGGGTCTTACTAAAGATTGGAACAGATTAATAATCAGCAAGACATCTATAATCTCATATTGACAATTTCTTGAGGAAAATACTAGGCGTTAAATGAATTTCAATTAAAACACGGTACCGATAACGTTGTGAGAATTGTAATTTGATCGCCATGGTCATATCAGACGTTTAAATTGCATTGAGAGTTGACGTGTAGTAAGTCAGATAATGCAGTGATGTCGTTGGAATTGCCAGAGTACCTGAACTGGACAAAAATCAGTGCATATTGCTAGCAGCCCTCTATGCCGACATGACATTCGCCAGGGAAGCGTTCATTCCTTTTCAAAGCTCACCGAATTAAACTTGAAAAGTAGTTCCTTCAAAGCTGTCCAAGGAACTGGGCGTAGAAGGGGGTGCTTGAATCTCGAGTCACGGGTTAAATTTCCGTATATTCACGTATCACGTTACCTTTTGGAGTTATTTTACTAATCACGTGATTAGGTGACGAACTGATCAAGTCTATCGATGATCTAAGTGGTTACTATATAAGAGTTGGTCTTAAACGACCCCTTGATGAGAAGGAAACGATAAATATGGCGATTCCTTTTCTTTTTGTTTGACGGCTACAAAGTTGACTGGCAATGAAAATTACCGCTGTAAAATCGAAGCTCTACAATTTTCCACTTTTACACAGTTTAACTTCGAGCCTTTGTTATGACGCTTGCACCTGCTTTATCGGTAGAAATCTCGATTCACGGACTACAATGTTAAAGGATCACGCGTCACAGTGAACATATATTTCACAAATCACAACTGTGTTTCATGAGTTTTTCCCGATATACGCTCTGTTTAGTGGCCAATTCACGTCTCACGCGAAACCCCTTCCGTACCCTGAAGGAAGAACCTCGTAGTCCACTCGAAAACGTAACCCGACGGTTATGTTCCTCGGTCCTCTAACCCCAAAAATAATAAGGTAAACTTTATAGCAATTTCCCTCTGCTTGCTCTGCTTGGCAAATCTTAAATTCTTTTAATGAAGGGCGGAGAATGTCCTCCTGAAGGCCAAAATCTTGAATCCGAGATTTTGGAAAGCTAAATTCCTGAAGTCAAGTTTTTGGAATGCAATATTCCTGAATCAAAAAAATAATGGAAAGCCAAAATCGTGAGTTCAAAATTTTCGTGTTACAAAATCCTTTATTCGATATTTCGAAAGGATAAAAACCTGAATTTAATTTTTTACAATGCCGAAATCACGCCTGAATTCAAGATTCTAGAAGGCCAAATTTCTAAATTCATTATTTATTATTATTATAAAGGCCAACATAGTAGCGGTGTAGGGGCCGGCATCTCCGTTTTTTAAGGGGGAATCTCATTAACTTGCAGGACCTTGCAGGGGGTACATTAACGCCGATGACGGTCCAGGGGCGGATCCAGGGTTTTTTTATAAGGGGGTGCACTCGTCTCTTGCTCTACTTCAACTCCAATAAACCACATAAATTTTTTTTTTTTTTTTGCAGAATACCAGTTGTATTAGAAAACCGCAGGTCATCTCAGGGAGGGGTGCGCACCCCCTGCACCCTCCCCCTAGATCCGCCCCTGCTGACGACATAGCCTTTTTTCTTTATCTCATGAATACAATGTGAAGGAATCAGGTCATGTGCTTTTCTTGGCTGGTTCAACCGGTTTGACATAGATGATGTCATGGCTTTTTGTCTTTATCATGCGGAGAAATTTGCCTAGTCTCCTTGTACGGCGTTTTCCCAGTCCCTCTCGGTCAATTCACTTTGGTGACTTATCCGAGGCTAATTTTCGCTTGGACCACGTGACCCGAGACGCTTTAGCCACTCGTAATAATAGAGACCTTTAGATTCTAGGACGAGAACGACTACGAGTACGAGATTTAACTTAAAGTTTTTTTCGCGCGTATTCTCAAATAATAGACACCCCGGATAGCTCATTGTACATCTTTTTGAATTAGCAGTGTTATCTTGATTGGAGGAGGTTAAGCTATCTGCCAGCCGCGAAATAATAAAACCTATAACACTATAACTTTTGTCCCATAACACAACATTGTCGCTAAAACTTGAAGTAGAATGACGACGACTATCCCGTTTTGCCGCCAAAATGACCCTGGTTCACGCGTGCGCACATGACTCAGTATTGAGAAAATCTTCGAGAAAATCCGCGCATACTCCTAGTCGTACTCGTCTTAGAATCTAAAGGTCTCTAATGAGGCCTAGGGACTATGTGCTTTTTTTAAGTGATTTAACCGGTCTGGCAGGTTTTCTAGGTACTTTAAGGTCGATCGATATCTTGGATTTCGATTGGTTGATTAGAAAATAGGAGAAGTTAATTCAAAGTGTCTAAGGAATAATCTCAAACTTGCATGTGAGTACCGAAAGAGGGAAAATAGGAACTTTCGGTTGTTATTTTTGGCCTCTGGGAAGCCAGCAAAGTTTTTCGGTTGTTACATGTAAGGGACCGTACGTTTATTACGTCCCAGGCTTGGCCGGGGTTTTTTTGGAGGGGGTGCAATTTTCTAAGAGGCTTGATTTTGGGGGTCAATTTTGAAAAGGAACAAAACGTGAGGGGGTCGAAACATTAAGACAAGGGGCTGGCCTTCTATGTAAAAGTTGTCAAACTACTGGTTCTTTATCAACAACAAAATGTTACCCGTACAAAGCTTGGCCCAGAAACCTATCAGCTAAATCTACTACCAGGAATGTAGCGTGAATGTAGTAGGCACATATGCTGGAGGGGGGGGGGGGGAAACTTTTAAGGCTTTGTGTAACTTTGTGGGTCACATTCAAATTTTTTTGGCGGGGGGTTGGGGGATGGGTGTTGGGGGGG